AATGGGCTTCGCCCACTGCCGAGACATGTCACCGTTTCAGTATCAAACGAGAGTCATTCAGATAAGCCCAATCATTTCACCTTTCTGTGTACTAAACAAGCCAAATCCGAGCAGTCTCCGATTTGCACGTGATTCCGAATCTGAATTATAGTAGTTTCTAGATTATTCTAACTTCTGAAGTTAGAGTAGCTGTGCTACCAATGGCGCCTTAATCTGTATACGCATCTGTCATGGGGCGGTTCGAGTCACTAACTCTGCTATCAGTGTTGTGCGCGACCAGAAGCATAACTGCTGCTGGTCTTTTGTGGTTGGCCTTCAGCTTTCTCGGCAGTTTTCGGAAGCCCCGATATAATTTCATCCGAGCAGGTGTTCACGCGCATGACTTCCCATATTGTTCTTTAAACACACCGTAAAACGTGCCGTCTTTCTTTTTTTTTCCCCGATTAATGGCAACAAATTGTTGTGTGTATGTTTATACAGCCGGAAGTTAGTCTGCCTCAGTGGGCGTCTGGAGTCTCAGCTGTAGATGAGCAATTTAGCCAGTGCGGTACAACCGCTAGCCTGCGGTCTTTAACATGCACCACGCAGTAGTGATACACGACCGCACGCCGGTACGATACTCATCCAGATCGAAACGGGCAGAGGCGGGGACTGAACCCAGAACCCCTGGGTTCTGCATTAATGGGATCACAAGCTAAAGCATGACTTGTTACTACTTCGTGTCAGCCTATCGCGAAGTACCGGGCGGCGCAAGTCCAGTTTAGTTTGTTTCCCACCCACGAATATTTATAGGGAGTATTCACTGGTGGGCATAGCTGTGTGCTTTGCGGTTGAGTGGCTGCTGAGAGCGACCACTCGCGAGATTCCCCCTGACAAAACCCTTGTTCGTCGCAGGCGACAAGTTCTTTACCTACTGCTCGTGCTGATGACGTCGTGTGAGAGAGTAGAATACTTTACAAACAATGTTACCTCAGATCCAAATGATAGATTTCCCCAGGTTTATGCCTACACGCCATCTTACAAGTTGGGCGCAGCGCTATCGAAGGCTCAAGCGCGAGAGCGAAACTCTGCCGAATGCACGCGCACTCTCGGCACGGAACTCTTGAAAAAGAGTATTAGAGGAGATATCTGCGGGGGTTTTCTTTGGTGTGTAGTTATACTTCGGTGACTTCTCTGATGCGAACGCCGTAACCGGAAATGCTCAATGAAGCCTCTGCATTAGAGCACTGCACGGGCCCGGCCCGGCCCACCGGCCGGCCTCCGGCCGGGTAGCACGCATTTTCTCGGGCCCGGGCAGGGCTCAAGTTTGAACAAAACATTTTTGACTGGGCGGTCCTGTGCCACAAATTTGAAATTGATGATAACAAAAAGTGTGCTCCTTGATATTTTAGGTTCAATGAAAACAAAAGCAAGTCAAGTGCAAATATCACTACAACGCCGCTCAAAAAAAAAAAAAAAGTTTTGCATTTGGGGAGTTTTTAAGTGGGTAAAAGAAAACATATGCACTCCACCAGCATAGTGGGAGAGTGCGCGCTTTCTGCTGAAACAGTTTTCAGGTTAAAGCCTGCAAACTTTTTTGAGCTCATGTTTTTTTTTTATTATTTTTTATCTGTCGGGCCCGGGCCGGGCTTAGGCTCATATTTAAAAAAAAATGGTCGGGCTCGGGCCGGGCCTGGGCCGTGTCTCTACCGGGCCGGGGCGGGCCGGGCCCAGAAATTAAATATTCTGTCGAGTTCGGGCCGGGCCCGGGCAGTGTAGGTATATAACTACCGGGCCGGGTCGGGCCGGGCTACTCTACTCTGCATGGCACTCTACTCTGCTCTACTTTGCATGGTAGTAGAATGAAGTTAAGCCAGAAAGTAAGGAACCCTAATATTACAAGGTGCCGTAGGGTCTTACAGCACACTTTGTTCGCATTTTCTTGCAATAGCAGTCGTGACCATCGTAAAATTCACATAAAGTGTTGTCATTCGTGCGAAAAAAAGGCAAGGGTCTGTTAAGTGGTTGTTTTCGATTCAACTGTTTTTTGTTTTTTTTTCTCACCTGCGTTTCCTTGTTGAAAAGTCGAAACGGTCTCGTTCTAACCAGTGCACGCTTGGAAAGCAAACAAGGTAGCGCATGCTCGAGCCCAAGGGCAGCCGAAGGAAATGTGCCGTGACTCCCACCGACGAGAGCTCGAATGCTTTGTGCAGAGAACCCGTTTTCTATCTACCAAGCACGTGACGGTGATAATTAACCGCACACGCGACCTTACAAGAGCGTGGCCACCAGATAATCCGTCAGTTCGGTTGCCTTCATATACCCACTTGATTGGACGGTGTATTTAAAACTGCTTCTTGCAGAACTCGCGTGTGAGTGCAACACTGCTGTTGCTATATTTTTCGAGTCTTTCAGTTTGTCGGTAACGGCCTTCGTGGTGGGGACTCATGTTTATTGAGGAGACAGGTTCCACGAGCCAAATATCTTAAAACAGAGTTGCGCTGGACTGCGTCGAGATGGGACTGCAGCGATTTGCCGGGACATCCGTACCTCGTATGCCAAGCTACTCCTCGAATCGGTTGCCACACTGTTCATACGACGCCCGGATATGTCCCAGGACCTCGCGGTCGTGTATCGACATAATGCGGGCAAACGAAGTCAAACGCATTTGTGTTGTGCCGTGTGGATTTTCCCTTTGCAGTAACCAATTCTCCCAGAAAGCCGAACCTTTTTTTATTTATTTTTTTTATTTTCTCCAACTCAACATGCACATAAAATTAATGTGCGCGTGAATGTCCCACGTGTCGATCTTTCCACTCCAAATGTCCTGGTTGGACCGGTGTATATATAGAGTTTCTTTGTTTTTTTAAGCTTAACAGATTTGGTTAAAAAAACACTGTGAAAGCTACACTTATGTGGTTTATTCAGGTGCGTTATACGGCCAGTGGGACATAGTATATGGGGATAATTATAACGATCAGTCGGCTAATTAATTAAAATTCGTTAAAAATTAACTTTTTAATTGGTGAAAATACTCTTATGGTGCCAATTAGAAATTCGCTGAGCGTCGTCCAAAACCCCTAAATCAGTAATTTTTAGAAAGACTTTGAGAGTGTGAGAAGCATAGTAGTGTACTAAAGTTACCACTCGTGGAGCAGGTACAAGGCTGAAGCTCTCATAAGATACGGAAAAATCGCGCTGGCGCCTTACCGCAACCGCTAGCCTTATACTTAGCGCAGTATTACACTTCTCACGCGCTCAAGGTATTTCTCCAAATTACTGATTTAGGCGTTTTGGACGACGCTCAGCGAATTTCTAATTGGAACCATCAGACTATTTTCACTAATTAAAAGGTTAATTAACAAATTTTAATTAATTAGCCGAATGATCGTTATGATTAGTCCCATATACTATGTCCCCCTGGCCGTATAACTCACTAACAAACCGCATAAGTGTAGCTTTCACAAATTTTTTTAAACAAATCAGTTAAGCATAAAAACCAAACAAACAAACAAAAAAAAAACACCCTGTTTTTTTGTTTTTTGTGTGTGTGTGTGTCCAAGGTGTGGGTGTCCATCACCCGTGCCTCTGAATCGCCGCTCAGTCTTCCGACTCTTTTGGGGAAGCTGGGGGAAGCCCTTGTTCAAGCTGATCAAATCCGTGCGCCACACTGCGCGGTCGCCTTTTCGTCGCGCTTGAACGTCCGTGTGCGCCCCCGCCATCGCTTGGTTTCTTGGACGGCGAATCTGGAACCCTGTCGGCGACAGTTCCAAGGACGGCGCGGTCTCGCCGCTATTCACCACACCCGCAACGATGGTATTCAGCCCAGAGCGGCAACTCGACGCAACTGCCGTCTCAAGGGCGGAGTCTTCGTTCACCTTCTTGCGGCCCACACATGAATGCTCTTATCTGGTCGGAGATGACTTCGCAACGTGACGTGTGGGCGCCGCCCGACGTCCGAAGCCTGTCGCAACGCAAAAAAAAAACGCCAGCTTTTTTTTTTTTTTTTTTTTTTGCGGTATTTTGTTAAATTTTGCGTAGTCAAACTCGTCAAGTGTCAAAGTGAGCATGTCTCGTACCAGCACATGTCTGTCCCTGTCCCCTGTTTTTGTTTTGCTTTCTTTGCGCTGATGATTAAACCAAACACGTTCGTCAAACGCGTCAACTGTCAAAGCTATTCCCGCAAACACACGGGAACTGAGACGCAAGCCCAAAAGTCACGTGCTTGCGCATCTCTGCGGGTCTGCAGCACTCGGAAACTTAAGTTTTACAACGTAGCACAGAAATATTTAACGCGGTCCTTGAGTTTCTGCTTCTAACGCAGGTGCCCCGCGGCAAAAGTATACAAAACAAACATTTGGCTCACGTCCGTCGCTACGAGGCAATGCTAAGCCGTTTCCCTTAATTTAAAGTAGCATAAAATAAAACAAGCACCAAAGAGTAGGAAAGAAAAAAAAAATAAAAACTGCATTCTAGAGGCGTCTCGGGATAGGACCTCGAGTATAGGACACGTGAAAGTGACCGCAGTTCCGTTCATGATCTCTCGACCGCTCTGTGTAACCAGTCGCGGCGTATACGGGAGGAATTCCGTCCGTTCGTAAAACCCGTTATGATCGCTGTCATGACCGCGATTCCAAAAATTCGAGCTCAGCAATGAACCGAGTGACGATTACAGCGCGGAAGGAGACTGTCGAAAGCAAGAACGCAATCCCCCGATTGCACCGCATCTTGCGCACAGTGTAGTTCCTTTGACTGGACGAGAATTGCTGGTATGGACCGCAGTAAATATGTACTGTAAAGTACTCAGACTCTTTCGCGGAGATATAATTGCTCCTGAAGTCGGCAGTACAGTGCACCCGTTTCCTCACTACTCTTGGCAAAGGTCTCAGCCAAGTCCTTGTCGTCGCGCTGTCTGTATTTTCAACAATGAATTAACATAGCCCAATCGTCTATGTTCTTCTCAGCCAAGCACTTTGCCACAACAATATGCCCTTTTTTTTCTTTTTTTCTGGCAGAGCCAGCTGGCGAGTGGTGCGCGTGCCCGTCCGCCACCATGTCCACGTCCACGTACGCCTACTACCAAGAGGAGCCGCGCACGCCCAAGCGCTACTTCAACCTGGGCGTGCTGTCGTGCTGCATCGGGGGCCTCGTGTTCAGCGCCGGCATCATCCTCGTCGTGCTCGGCTCGTCTCCGCAGGAGCCCGAGGCCTTGTGGATCGCGGGCATCGTGCTCCTGCTGGCCGGGGGCCTCCTCTTCTTCCTGGGCATCGGCTCCATCGGCCTGTACCTCGCCAAGGAGGACCGGCGCAAGCGGGAAGCCGCCCGCACCCGCACGCGCAACTACACCTCTAGTCTGCGCTCCAGCGACGTCGTGCTCGTCGAGTGAAAGCGCTCTAGGCCGCTGTCGACCCCGTCTAGACACGGCTTCCGGTCGTCTGTCGCCGGCAGGCTTGGGAGGGCCGCTCGACGACTGCTTCCGGAACTCTCGCACGCCCCCCGAATCGAAAGACACTGTCCACTCGAGGAACCGTGCGGAATTTTGTAGCGAGGAATATCGCGAACTGATTCGAGCGAACGAGCCTTGTCAGGTAAAAGGAATGTAAAAGGTTCTATAGAGGGCCACGTGTAGCCCAGGGTTTGGGTCTCACAATGTGCCGTTGACCTTTTTTTTTTTCCTTTTTTTTAAGAAGATCTTGCGGGTTGCGCAAGATGACCCTGCCATTTTGTAGAAAACTATCGTCCGTATAATGCAGTAGCGAAGCTCGACGCGCCTGTTGCCTATAGGTACTAGCAGTGCTAGACTCGTGCATTTCATCGGAGGTTTGTTTTTATTTATTCTAACAACGACCAGATAGAAACGTTCATACGCTTCCCTTTCTGTGTGACGACCCGAAGTCATGTTCATAGCATTTCTCCTCGCATCTTGTTTCTGTCCTTCTCTCCCGGCCTTCGAAGTCCGAGGCTGGATGAGTTCGGACTGCATTACCTGTGGGCTTGCCTCGGACTCATTAGCGGTACACGAGAAATGACACGCTACACATTTGCCGCGTGTCGCTGATGGAACCGCGTCTACTGTTACAGCCGCTGCGCTGGAGATACACGAATTACGAGGCTAGAAGAGTGCTGTATCCTGTGTCTAGCTGCCAGTCTGACATTTTGTTTCATGTTATACGAAGCAATCTGTTACAAGACGTTGCTGTGCTCCTAAGTCAGTTACAACTTAATAAAATAATTATGCGTAGCTCTATCCTGTGTTCCACTTGCTTTCATATATACCGTACCGAACTGTCAAAATTTGTTCTGATAATGTATGTCAATGTGCATGTTGCCATGGGGCCTTCAAAGTAGGCCTTCGTAATCTAAACGTAACGATAGGAGAACTGAAGTCGTACTGGGCATGGTTCTAAATGTACGGTGTTCCTGATTAATGCGTTTCGTTTAAACTAGTTTAAGTATCTCGCGTGCTTCACCTCCGTTTGCTGTTTGGGTAATGCACTGAATGGTCAGTCTGTTCAAACTTGTCACATTCAGAACGAACGCTTTCGCCAAGTATATTTTTAGTGCCTACTCCGGAGTTTTCTTCATAGTCCCCGATTTGCCTAAAAACTTGCTAAACACACCAACAAACATCGCTGAAATAGTAACCCAAATTTCAAAGTGAAAAGCTCTACTGGCAACATTGAAAAAGTGACGTCATGGGAAGGCAGGGGTTCACTCTTTGGGCTGTATATATATATATATATATATATACATACTGTTCCCAACTGATTACAAACAGCTTCATGGTGTCAAATGAATGCTTTGGAAGCTCGCTCCAGCTCTCGCGCAGCAGCACGATACGAGTGCTCGGCATAGTTCATTTTTAGACAGCCCGCTCGAACCGCAAGCCTGCCATCCCATGACGTCACGGCAATGAAAGCGCGGGTATATTCGAATCTTGGTTTTGGCGTCATTTTCATTTGCCGATTTCACAATAACTATTTTTAATTTCGCGATACTAAATAGCATACCGGAAAGAGTAAAAGATAACGATTTCGGAAATATAGTTAGGTGGGGTTGCTAAAAAGATCACCGGAGTACCCTTTTAATGAAAATTAAGCCTTGTGAAGGCACTTAATTTTCATTAAGGTACCAATAAACCGGCGTTTATCGGGACCTAGTCCGCATCTGCATGACTCCAGCACTACAGTTGAAGTGTAAAATCACGTAAAGAAACACACTGCCTTGGTAAAGACAAAGCGAAAGTGCGTTTGAACGGATAAAAAAGAAAGTTCATTAGAACGGGTAAAAAGAAATGAGCACGTCCTTTATATATTTATTTATTAACATATTGTTTGATTCTTGGAGCCTTTATTCTTGCCGGGTTCCTTGGAAAAGATCCGTTTCCATGAACAGTATCTAGAATCATATGTATCCTATACAACGTACAAAAAAAAACAAAAAAAAACAGCGATAAATTAATATAAGCGCAGAAGGGAGTAAAATAATCTCAGGATCGTTGAACAAAACATATACGTTATGTTAATTGATACCTCATAATAATTCGTAAACGATATATTTTTTTCCTTTTTTTTTTCCTTTTTTGGATGCGTGAAATGTACATAAAAACACCGAAAACTATGACGTTGAAATGCTACTATTCTGTGCCCTCTCACCTCGCTGTTGGGTAGGGCCATTTCTTTTTTGTCTAAAGAGCCATTCGACTTTCCTGCCACGGCTGAGCCTTTCTCGCCAGTCTTCCTGGAAGTCGGCATCGTTAGTTGTAGGCGGTTGCAACTGGCTTCGCTGACGGCAAGGGCGTTGCACGAGTTGCTGTGGCCGTCGCTGACGCCGAGCAGCGAGACTAAACGGAAGAAACATGCCTCCTCATAAGCTGGAGGCGAGGGCATCGGGGATGTCTCGCGAGAGAAAAGTGCGACTAAGGTCTTTCCATAAAACAATCGGTATATACCCTGACGGCAAGTGCTTTCAGGAGCGACTCGCTTGCTTTTGAAATGTCGACTTGCAAACAATGCGACGCGCCAAGTGAGCTTCAGGGCGTAAGAGATGGGGAGTTGTATACCCGTTAGAAGCGAAGCGTGATCAGTTTAATGTTACTGAAGAAGCAGATGGTTCCCTATTGTTTTGTCGAAATTCGTTTCATGGAATTTCGTTTCCTGGACAACTTTTCATGGACATACGTGTCGTCGACACTAACGTTTCGTCGACACTCGTTATGCGAATTGCACGCTATAGGGACGTTTCGTCACGAGTGTATCACTGGGGTGCGCGTTAACCCAACGCCCGCCTGCGTTCACGCCGCTTTGCGGCGACAGTCTGCGGCTGCTTCAAAGATTTTAACCCACCTGACCGACCCGTAAACGCAGCTTCGCGGCGTCAGTCTCGTGCAGCTTATTACAGAAAAAAGCTAATCTGAGTTTTCGATGAAATGATCCGTCGATGAAACATCGCGTGTCGATGAAACGTCGTTCGATGAACTGATTGTCACCGGGCTGCGGGCAAGGGCCAACAGAAATGAATCCGTGCGCTCAGCTTTACTCCATCTTTTGATAGCTCACGTAACCTGTGCCTAATAGCGAGAAACATGGGGCAACACAGCAGATATGCTTGTCTTTTCCAGCTCCAGACAAACAGTGACAGACGTAGTTTTCGGAAGAGAGGCTCAGGGGAGCAATGTTTCCTGAGCGATCTACCTGAAACCGGAATGTAAAACTATCTGGTTCGTGCGCTACAGAATCCTTGCGGCGACCCGGTCCGCACTGTTCCGCTCGGTGTGGCGCGGGCGCGGGGGAAACCGTGTGTCGCGGCAGCAGCGCAGAGGACATTGAACCGCGTCTGCTTTTCGGGGAGCCGATGGCCCCCTCTGGTCTGCCGGCGAGCCTCGAATTCGCCGACCGCTTTGTCAGCTCGTACTCGTGGTCGAGCAGAGGATCGGTAACGTCAGCTCGGTCGGCTCAACTGCATTCCACGACGCCCGCCGCCGGCGTGCCGTCCGTGAGCCGACGGAGACTTCCCGTCCGGGCCGTGACGTGAGCGCAACGTCAGAGCTTGTTTGGATCGTTGCCACTACGCAGCGGACGTGCCTGTTGCGCAACGTGTGCGCTCCGCGTGTGCGGAACCCGCGGACGCTCAGGTGTTCTCGGCGACTTGGCTACTTCGCTTCGCTGCGCCGTTGACATCGCACAGGCGCTCGTCACCCGCAGGTGAGTGTTCACATGCGTCATCTAGAGTGGGATCGCACGCGGTGTCCTTGCAGTCCTGCAGCCCTTTCGTATACGTACTCGCGCTGGTGGTCGTTCTCCGGGGTTTCCCCGCGCTCGGTGTAATGCATTTGCTCAGCTGTAATGAAACTCAGCTGTGACCAGCTTTCCGCTTTCCTGGGCTCAAGCCGTGCTCAGCTGGTTGTTTTGTTGGGTGGCCTCCACATTTGCACGCGGTGTTGTCTGCTCTCGCCTCGCGTCTTGCTGTCTGTTGGTGAATGGTTCGTGGATTCATTCGAAATTCTGCTAGACTCTTTGGACGCCCGTGGCTACATAGATTCTCCAAAACAACCTATCACCCTTAAAAAAATTTTAAGGATTTTTAGGCTACGGCGTAATTAAATTGTAATCAGCGGTAACTCTTTGCAACAAGAACAACCGGACGACGATGCATGGTTAATATATATATATATATATATATATATATATATATATATATATATATATATATATATATATATATATATATATATACAGGGTGTTTTTTTTTATTCTTACACATTTGTTAAAAAAAAAAGTGAAAGCTACACTAATGCGGTTTGTGCAGGTGGGTTATACGGCCAGGCGGACATTATGTGGGTGGCTAATCTTTGCGATGAGTCGGTTAATTAATTCAAATTTGTTAATTAACTTAATTAATGAGTGGAAATAGACACATGATTTCAATTAGAAACTTGTAGAGCATCGTTGAAAACCACTAAATCAACTATTTTTGGAAGGATATAACGCCGGGGAAGCATTTTACAGCGTTCTTTAAAAACGCTCCATTTGGACGCGTTTCTAGATTTCGGTTTCTTATCGGAGCGCATCACCGCGCCCGCGGTCCTGCTCCCCAGTGGCTGAGACGCGCAACACACGTGCGCCGTACTTCCCTCCATTCTACGAGGGAGGCGAGGAGGTGGCTTCGCGTCGCGACCACCGGGGAGCATGATCCCGGGCGCGTAGATGCGCTCCGATAAGAAACCGAAATCTAGAAATGCGTCCAAATAGAGCGTTTTTACAGAACGCCGTAAAATTCTGCCCTGGCGTTATATCCTGCTAAAAATAGTTGAATTAGGGGTTTTCGATGATGCTCAGCAATTTTCTAATTGAAACCATATGTTTATTTTAAGTAATTAAAAAGTTAATTAACGAATTTTAATTAATTAACCGACTCATCGCAAAGATTAGCCACCCACATAATGTCCGCCTGGCCGTATAATCCACCTGCACAAACCGCATTATTGTAGCTTTCACGGTCTTTTTTTAAACAAATGTGTAAGAATAAAAAAACACTCTGTACATATATATATATATATATATATATATATATATATATATATATATATATATATATATATATATATATATCAGGTCAATTTTATTAACAGGCTGAAAAGTCGTAAACGGCTGCGATAAAAACGGATATGCGTGTTTTATTTTTATCAGCAGCCTCGTTATTGCCACTTATATCATGCCCCGTCCGTCAGAAACATACCCGTTTTAAGAACAAGCTTCATTTGGTTGATCGTCATGAGCTTCAAAATGATCAGTGTTGGTAAGTACTTTAAGTACATAGTACATTGTACTTAAAGTAAAGTATTCCTCCAATGAGGTTTAGAGTACTTCTACTTTACTTAAAGTACATTCTCTGAGTACGTTCTAAGAAATGCCTGCGCGTTTACTGACCCGTAAAACACTCAAAGAGCCAATCTCTGCGATCTACGAATTCAGCTCAGCGAATGATGAGGCGGAACATCTGTTTAGACCCCAAAGGCAAGTCTGCCATGTGGCATTACGCAATACAAGCATGACGCTTTGCACTGCGTAACGCCACAGCGCAGACGTAATTTTTGAGGTCTAAACGGATGGTCCGCCTCGTCATTCGCTGAGCTGACTTCGTAGATCGCAGAGATTGGCTCTTTGAGTGCTTTGCGGGTAAGTAGACGCGCGGATACTTCTTAGGGTGCATGCATTGTACTTTAGTATGCTTTTCTAGTACATTCAGAGGGAAGTACAACTCCCGACATCAAAGTACATTCCCCAAATTTGTCCTTGTTAAATTTGTATTCCAAAATGATACTTTGTCAACTCTGAAGCCACTTAACGTTATCCCAATATTCGCCGCCATTTGCGAAAATAATCGATGCACCCCCGATTACCCCTGGGGCAATGCAGTAAAGAGAAGACACTATATAAGAATGAAAGGGCATCATGAAAGATCGTGTTAAAAGTACAAAGTACTTGTACTTTACTTTGAAAGTATATTGTATTTATAGCGCTTTACTTCAAGTACTTTGCGCCCGGTGGACTTGCTACTTTACTGGAAGTACATAACCTGTCATTCACTTTGTACTTTACTTCGAGCACTTTTTAGATGTGCTTTACCCAACACTGAAGATTATCCAGTACTTTTTCCGCACATGCAAGCCTTATAACAATGCGTAAGATTCGCGAATCATGCTACTCCCGTTAGATGAAACCTCACCGTGATCATGGTGAAGTTCTCATTAACGGCGTCAACTAAACGAAGAAAGGTGCATTAACATTTTTTTTTGTATGAATTGTGGGTTCAGGAAGTGATATGGTTGTATGTGCACCTCGGAACTTTCTCAGCGTTGATTTAGCAGCTAACTTTTTCTTTCCACCTTACCCGCTACAAAACCACTGGAAAGGCAACGCGAAGTCAGGTGCATGGGTAGTTGCTCTTTCGAGCGCCGTAATTTCGCGCTGAGTTTGCACCGCGCTCGAACAAGTGGGAAGCCGCAACAATAAATCAATAAAATGATTAAAAAGAGGCTGACATTTTTGCCGGTTCGTGACGTCTGGTGGGCCACAGAGGGTCGATGGCCTCGAGTCCGATACGACTTCATCCCCGTGCGAACGCAGTCCTTTGAAATGTTCGTTGTCTGGTTACACTCCACGCCCACCTATCTTACATCACTAGTCTCGCCAGCATAGAGCTTCGAGAACAATGAAAGTGTATGGCTCAATAAATCTGCAGCAAATAGATTCCCCGCTGTAATACGCGTTTGGATACAAAAAAAAAAAAGAAAAGAAAATCGAAAACAAAAATTCGAGGGGACGGGCGGAGTTGATCGCCGGGGAGGTCGTATTCTTCACAAAGCGTTTCTTTTTGGTCATTATTGTTGGAATCTTAAAAGTGTCTGGGTAAAAATTAATGATCTCGATATCACCTTGTTAGTTGAGCATCCGCGTGGCCAGAAATCATAATTTGCGCACTCTGGCATGATATTTTCAACAGGCCAGAAATTAAACCCCGGCTCATCCTATCGAATGACATGCACGGTGACTCAACTGCAATGCGGCCGACTATATTCCCCAATAAAGTAGTAGATCTTCCTTAGTGACCTCGAGCGCCGTCAGTCAGTTGTGGGCACGTGTGTCTTTTTTGTATTATTAATAGTATTATTGAGCATCTTTTTGAGCTACGAGACGACCCCCCCTCGTATCCAGGCAGCGTGCGAAGTCCGGGCAATCCACACTGCTGTACTACACAGAGGAGAATGCTGACGCTTTCGCCGCTCGAGGCTGCCACTCATAATCGCCGACCAGCGCATTCTAAGACTGTATCGTGTACCCGTACACTTCGTTGAGCTCCGAGCCAAGGCGAACCAAAGTTCAGTCCCGCACTTTCTGCAGCTGCTCGCGGGAGTGCCGAATCTCGCGCCCAATGGCCATGAATTTTAATACAGCCAATTTAAAAATGTAGGCTTATTAATGCAGAGGTAAAGTTTAGAGGCAGTGATTAAGCCTTCGCTATAGTTTATACTATGACGTGGTCATTGCGGATAATCAGAATTGTGATTGTGATAATGAACAGCCAGCATTCATTCTATAAACGTGTTCCGAGACAAGATTTGCGCAAACATATTTTCATCGTAAATGAAGAGTTCATACCTCGGCGCCGATGCAAATATATTCCTAAAAGTCTGACGATGCGTGCGTTTGCAGTAAGAAATGATTAGTCCAAGTCAAACAGTGCACATTAAAAGGATGGAAAGCGGATATCGGTCCGCTGAAAAGCACCGAGCTAGAGAACGACTTCATATCATTGGCCGCTTTCCTAAAGCTTTCGACATTCAAACAGCTCATTTGGCCTGAAGCGCTATACCCCGCGGGCACGTGTTTCTCCGTTCGCTATTTTCTACTTCGTGGTAAAGTCATTAAGTATTACTTCGTTTATATTATACCTCGAGACACATTGTTAGATAGCCATCTCCTGTCCGGCTACATAACAAAACAAAACAAAAAAAAAAGGAAGAGGGGCACGTTGTCCCTTGTGCACGACCAGCTGACACGCAAGGGGCTTCCTTGCGCTTCTCATGCCCGGCACTTGATCGAGTAATGCGGCGTGCCACTTTCCGTGAGCGCGCGCCTATTGTTGGTTGAAGGGGGCGAATAACAAATGACCAGACGCGGCGCCGCGGCCCTGGTAGATCTACTACATGGCTTCTGCGCAGAACGATGAGCGCAGCAGCGTCACGCCACGGGCAGAGGCCGTGACTTCCAAGGGTTAGTTGTTTGCTTTTCCCATACGTGCTAAACTGCAAGACTTTTTTTTTTTTTTTTTTTTTTTACGCTTTACTAGGTACGCGTCATGACCGTCGCGCGCTCTGGGTAGTTTTATGTCCGGCAGCGAAGAATGCAGCGCGAACGAGACGCCTGTACGGCGGTTTCAGGCTGCGCTCCGCGTTATTAAAAAGAAAGGCGTACGCAAACAGATACAAACGAGCGCTCAAACGTTCGCTTGCACGTGAAAGATCGGCCACTACCTGGCCAAAAACTTCATATGCAAAGGTTTGGTCGCCAACGAGGACGTCGTAGCAAATAGCGAATATGCCTGTTCCGTAAAAAGTACATGGAAAGCTTTCCAAGGAGGCTCCGAGGAGGGGCGTTTTCAGCATCGTGACAACGACTTTGTTTCTGGACTCGCCCAATTC